AGAGTCTACATCAAAAAGTTATGCTTTTAAGAGAAACAAGTAGATTGACCTCACAACCAAATCTAGGGAGTTTTGTTTCTACAAGTATTACGAGGATAAGAATTAATATACTTAAGAAGTTTGATAGAATAAGATCAAAATTTTGAAGATTTTTGCAATAAGTCAAGCTCTATCTAAAATTGCTCTCTTTCCAATATCTCAAAGGATTTACTAAAATTGAATTCATAGATGCACTTCTATGAAGAAGTGCTCTTTATTGCTTTGTACCTTTAATGGAAAAAGATTTGTAATTCTTTTATAATTTGAATTCATTTCTAGATGTGTTTACAACCATATTTGGAGAAAGTAATCAAGTAAGAGTAGCAAAGACCAAGCTCTTATCTTTACAACAAGGATCACGGTCAGCCATCATATACACTACTGAATTCCAAAACCTCACTTGCAATGTGGAATAGAATGACAAAGCCCTTATCAATCAATTTTGATATAGATTTAAGGACAATGTCAAAGACTTATTATTAATAATATCAAAAATACACTCTTTGGAATAATTTATTACTCAAGCTATTGCATGTGATAATTGATTATTTGAAAGACGTCAAGAACAAAGACATGGCTAAAGAGGAACAAATCAAATAATGACATTAACTCTTAAGTTTTTAAAAACATATTTATCAAAGCCAAAACCAATGCAAATTAATACGATATGTTTTAAATGCTTCATAGAGTAAGAAAAAAATTGACGATGTCAAGAGGGCTTATGCTTATATTGTGGAGAGGCTAAAAATACTACTCAACATTGCCCAAAAAAACAATACAATTACAAAATGAGAAGCATGATTGCCAAAAAAGACAATGTGTTGGAAAACGAGTTGTTTCGGCTGGAATAAGAACCTTGAGGTGGAAATCATGTATAACATCTAATAAAGATCAAATTTCTCATCTAATCTCTTACCTAGTTTTATAATAACTATAACATCAAAAACAAATAATTAGATAGGTGTCTTTTCTTACTTTGATACATTATGGCATGGATTTTATTTTAAATATTTATTAAAAAATAATATGGATGGATGTATATAATCTTATTAAGAATTGAATATGAATAATTTAAAAAAATAATTCTAGTAGCAAAACAAGCTAGCATAAATATAAAAAAATTGATCTTAAAAAATATAAATTATCTTTATTAGATTTAAAAAAATAAAAATTTAATTATATTTATTATATTTTCAAATCTAAATTTATAGAATAGCAACACCAACCATTAACAATGCAACTTCCATTCATATATTTTAAAATTTTATTCAAACTAACTTTAGCCTCTATTAATTTCTTATATCTTAATCTATATAATTTACAAGAATGCATTTCAAATAATTAGGTCCAACTCTATTAAGACCATATTTCCTCAACACCTATTCAACATACTAAACAAATTGGGAAATCTTGGCCTTTAGTTTTTTATAAAGAAAAAAATAAATAATAAATTAAAACTAAAATAAAGCTAAAAAAAAATAGTCTACCTTAATTTATCTCATCCAAGACAAAGTGATAGCAGTCAATCTTTGTAGATAAAACTAGGCCTTCAAATCAATATTCATTATTTATTTTAGATATCAAAAAAATACAAAGCCCTATTTTAGTAGATTTTTAGGAATATAAATCATAATAAACAACTTGGGAATATAAAACAAGTTTTTTTTTTTTTTTTTTTTTTTTTTTCTAGTTTGTATCTATTGGCTTCCAAAAAAACCATGATATTTTTTAATCTCCTACCAAGTGATATTTGCTATAAAATAAAATAAAATAAAAAACATGTATAATTTGAAGACATAAAGATTACTTGATCTTTGATTATAGTTTCTAATTCAAATCTAACAACATAATCATCTAAACTCACCAAACTATTTTAATCAATTCACTTTTGCAACTCTTGGCTTCAAAAGCAGTCTATAAAACCATCCTTTCATACTATCACTTTAACATCAATTAATCTTCTTTCAACAAAATTACATTTCATACACCATCTTACAAAATAGTATTGATTCATTTCGAAAAAATAACCACTTGACACCTTTGTCCAATACATCCTATCATAGATTTTTAAACAAAAACTTTGAAGCATTATATCATTATATATATAAAAAAAAAAAAAAAAAAAAAAAAAAAACATTGAAAAATTAAACAAATCAATAAGTAATAAAAATCATTATGCATTCAAATTAGAACCAAGATTTGTGCATGTAGCCAAAAACTCATATTGATGATTTTTGTTCCTCAATGTCTCAAACTCCACATTCATTTCCTAACTACCGCTACGGTAATCACTGCTTCTTGTACAACATCATGCCAATGCCAGACTTCTCGTCCTGAAAACCCGCTTGGTCGTCGCCTTCTGCACCCTATCATTTGGCGTCCCACCGGCTTCTCCGCTTCAAAATCTTCCTAACCTCATGAATTGAATTGATAGCACTTCCACAGCACTACATAATCTACGCATCCAATTTTACAATAGCTCATAGCTCACGTGTGTTCAACACAGCATGCGCCCCGCAACCAAAGACAGGATCATCCCAACCACGGGCACAATCATTGTCGGCACTGTAAGGACCCCGGCACCTTTCTCAGGTCCTGGGGCAGAACTAGGCGCCTGCGCATTGGCCAACACAGCCATGCTCAAAACGGCTGCAACAATGGTCACTGTGGACTTCAACATTGCGGACGCCATCTTCCTGAATCTGAATCTGAATCTGTTCAATCAACGCACAAACCAGGTTACGACTGTGCTCTCACGACATTCCGAAACGTTCTTTCCACGACGCACGCTCACTCCCATAAATTACAACCTAATTCACCCACACTTGGGTAACTATCAGTCGCCAAGTGTTAGAGCAAGTCCATCACAATGAATTCCTCGGCCCCCTTCATCTCGTACGTGCCCATCAAAGCAAAACAATCTGGCCCGCAACCAATCCTGCGCCTGCGCGACCAAATACCCTATCTCGTCACAATTGCTCTTTTTCGGTCAAACTCGGCTCACAGGATAACCTCGGCTCTCCAACGAAGGCTGCCAAAACTAAACCACGGCGCCAGAACAACCTAACAGCGCGACGTTGGCCTCTTGCCTGCACAACTCGCCTTCCTATGAAACTACCAACAACAACAACAACTCCATTTCACGACATGCAAAGAACTCCTGAAATCCAACACCACCACGTCCCACAAACTCCGAACCGATTCAGGCTCTGGCGTCACAGGATTCCACTCTCAGCTCCGACTCCGCCACAGAGCCGATTACCCACCTACCCACACTACCGGTGTCCATGACGACCATGACGACCATGACTCCAGCGGTTTCCAATCCGATGCCCATCTACACAACCAACACTCACGCAACAACACATCATGAAGCGCACAACTGGGCACCCACCTGTGACGGTCGACGGTGGCCTAAGGTCGCCTGAGCCACCGCAAGATCTCCTCCGATGTAATGTGGAAGCGCAATACCAAGGGCAGCAGTTCGAGCTGTGATCACCGATGCGAGCAACAACGCGGGCGCAAGCGGAGGCAATGGGGACAGCTGTAGTAGGGAGCGAGTGGACTGGGTGCAGCTCTGGGGTTGGGGCGGAGGGTTTTCAAGAGTTTGCTACTCTCCGACCGGTCAATGTACGAAGTAGAGGTCGCGGCAATTGTCACGCGGTGGATCGGCTTGCGCGGAGGCAATGTTGTCCAAGCTGCGCTGCGCTAATCTTTTTTCCTTTACAAAGTCGGTACCGATCAACCATGTGCGCGTCGGTTCGAGGGTTAGGTACGGAGCGAATACTTCGCTTCGTTGTAGCACAAATTCATCCATCCCAGGTAAGTATGTGAGTTCTGCCCAGCCCGCTGCGAATGGTATAATTAATATTGTGAGATTACTGCCCTATCTTTGTATGTTGGTGGCAGTGGCTAATAGGGAGGGTTAGTGGCTTTCGGCAGGTCCAAAGTCCAACTCCGACCCTCTGCAGGGTAGAATAGAATATTTATCCTAATTTTTTAATGTTATGACCGCTCCTCAGTGCTAGTACGTCGACCCCTCCTTGATCTGCGCTCACCTGGCCCCGAGTTCTAAATTTCTCAGTCTAGCGGAGGCAGGTATATTAAAAACAATTGTTCAAAATGCCCGGCATTCATTCATGGATGAAGGAAATAAGTACCGGCATACAAGCTGGGTACATGTTCCTCTGCAGCCTTTGAGCTGCTTCCCTCTATTACCGACTTGCGCATTACACATGCTTTGCTTCCACTGGAGATCACCGGTTTCGAGATCGTTGTAGATCCCGGAGGGCTGGGCGATAATTGTGGCTCTGTTTGCACCTGGTCCAAAGGGTCCGAGACCGACGGTTAGGGTGAACCCGAGTGCGTCAATGAACGTGCAACGGGAATTCTGGTGGTTTGTCCTACATGCTCTCTCTGGCTCCAGCAGTAAAATGCACACTTTCAAGGTGCTGAGTGGGCACCCAGGGAGGTTCTGCCGATTCAATTATCCTGGGATGTTAACCATGGCGGTGCCAGCTTCTCTGACTGTTAATAGTTCTGCATGGTGTACCAGTTTACTCTTGATGTGTCAAATTTAACATCAACGAGAGCGGGGATTGCCTCTACAGATGACTTTACCCAGGGGTGGCAAGTATGGTTTTATTGCGAAAAGTGCGTCAAGCCGTATCCGCAGGATACGCAAGCATCACACAGTGGAAGGGGGTATGAAGAATTTGACAACTGTAGTAAAGTTCTCATTCGATATGCCAGTAGAAGAGTTTTAAGCCAGATCCGTTTAAATGACGATGAATCTTTCCACAGTTTGAAATCGAGTTAAGATTGGTGCTTTTTGCCAGAGTATGATGTTTTAATTAACAATTGGAGTTGTACACGCTGTTCAAATGACGCAGATAGGGATCACTGTAGCACCAATTTGAATTCGGACATGCAAAGTAGATTACAATTTCGGGGACAAAAAATGCTTAACTTTTCCTCTTTATTAGATAATGATCAACCTTCTTTCCTCTGCATTCACTGGGACCTTGCAGTTCGGAAGAAAGCTCAACGACAAATCAGTACACTGTATTTTCTACTCGGAACTAGAAACCCGCTGGCTGTGCCTCAATTGCACTTCAAATCTGTACACGATGCCTATAACTTACACACACCTAGAGCACAAATAGCATGCCTCGTGCAACAAACAAAATCATTGGTCTGACATGGCTTCGTAGCGTCTCTGCCGTGCGAAACAATTTCAATGGTACCCACTTTCGCTGCCTCCTAGGACACAAAAATTATTCTCTATAGCAGAGTGTGACATCACCCTTGGAATGTCATGCCCTCGGCAAGCTTACCAGAACATACGGGTGGCGAAGATGGTGGCGATCGTTGCAATGGCAGGGGCTACAATGGAAGGGACCAACGAAAAGGCACCAGAATCTGGTGCAGGAGCCGGGGAAACGGCCTGGGCATTCGCAACAGCTGCCACACTCGACATGACTGCGAGGATGGTCACCGCGGAGCTCACGAATGTCCTGGAAGCCATTGCTTTAATTGCTGATGAGGGTCTGGACGGCAAGAAAAACTCACAGGTCAGTACAACGCGGGAGAAGCAGGAGAAATACTGCAGTATTCTGTTAGCAGTGCAACACAAAGAATTCGATTCCATTATGCTGGGCCATAAGATTCTGAGCTCACAATTTGGGGACGGGAATATACACATTGGTAAATGTACCTAAGATAGTTATTATACAATGTATGTGTACTTTTTCGAAGAAGTCAGAGATTAAGAGGGGCACGACACTAAAAACGACCGATCATCAGATGTTCCGAAGACGGACTCCACACCGGACAGTTAAAAGTGTTGCGTAAAGAAGGATGCCTAGAAATTTAAAGCTGGAGTTCCTGCGGCTAGACCGCACTCTCGTACCCAGTAAAGCTATTCGGCGCACAAAAACTAAGATGCGCCCTAGGCAACACACTTCACTTCGCCCGCCACTCTCCTATGCACAACTCCCACCCATCCCATAAACATACAAGAAACCTGTCAAGAAAAGCAGTTCAAAGTGCATACCGAATCGGCAGAGGGGGTCTTCTCGTTATCGAGTCTTTTGCAGAACCTCACAAATGTAGTCGCTTATGTGTAGCGCAGGAGAAGTACGCGAGATGAGCAAGACCGAATGAGGCTCTCGGAGCTGCTGTGATTGTGAGGGAAGCGGAGGCTCGAATCTGATATAAAGGAGTGGCAGACTTGCCCTCATCCTGCTGGGTCCGCCCAGTTCACACTTTATCGTTGGCGCGTGGCCGACTTGAAGAGTGTCAGCGTGGGCAGAAAGGCGAGTTCCCTCGATTATTTCCGAGTACCCTTGCGGGTTTGCCCTGAAACCTAGAAAAGTGTGGAAACAGAGTGACTTGTGGACATGGAGCTGACGTTCCGCACAGCCCCTGACTTGACCCACTCCAAACGGAAGGCTCTGGGTTGTGCATGAATCCAGCTCTAATTTGACAGTCGCCCTGGAGAAGCGCGGCCGGTTTGTCCTCAGCCTGGCCGTTTCTCAACACCTGTTGTGGATGGATGTCCCCTGTTAGGTAGATCGTTTTTCATGTTTCGTTTCCGTTTTGCAAACTTGGTGCGCTGCCGTAGGCCACAAGACCTAGGGAGTCAGCTGAAGCCTCAATGATTGCGAGGAACCTAGTGGTAGTTTGCCAGAAAGATTTCATTCATTCCACAGACACTGATTCCAGTTTTCAATCTCGACATTTCCGTTATTTATAATTTTAGCACACGCAACTATGATCGATCAAGGAATTCTTCGTCCATTTATTCTAAAATATTTTGTTCGATTTTTTATTTTTTTTTATTTTTTTTGTTTGGAGGCCACTGCAATGCAACGGATACTCTGATTTTCAATAAGCTGTGATGAGCAAAGTCAGTTCCTCATTGAAAGCACGCTACGGGAATCAGCAAAAGGATTCCTGCAAAATAATTGTCGAGTTCGACAAGAATGGTTCTTCCATCATCACGCCGGACGGAGCATCGGAAAATCTAGATTCGGTCCTCCTACCTTATACAATGTAAACGGTCCTATGGTGGGGATTCAATTTCAAATCGTTTTCCTCGCAGAAAGTTTCAACCTCGTAAAGAAGGCCTAATGAGAACACCGCATCAAGGGCAGGTCAGAATTTTGTTCACCGAGCGTCGGCTATATGGTAAACCATTCTCAACCCGGGTGGCGCCGTAAGCAGTCTGTGTGCAAGGGAAGGTCAGCGAAAAGCTAATGCATTACTATAATCATTTGGGTGGTGGTAGGGTAGATGAGGTGCCAAGTTCCAAAAACATTCTAAAGGTGCCCGGACAGAGCGAATGGAACAGACGTAAACCAGCTCACTTGTGGCGTGTTTTTGGCTCTTTGGATCACAGTCGCCCTCATTCCTGAGAATTATTGTTGTTGAGTGCGCAGTTGATGCCGTTGTTCCACGCTGGAGAGGTGGATTCCACCATAGCCTGGCCGGCAATCATTGAGCCTTTGTGCTGAGTGTCCTTGGCTGGAGGAAGCGTTCCGAAGACAGCATCCCAGAAGGAAGTGGTCACGCCGAAGCCGTATCTGTGCATCCCACTCTTGAAGTGGTGGTTGAAATGATCCTTCTGCAAAACCCATCACAATGTACGGTGAGTATCATCGACCAACGAAGCGCAGGTACCTTCTTCCGCCTCGTTCGTTATCGTTTCGTTAGAGTTTTGCACGGTTCCACGGTTGTGGAAGTGGTGCAGATAAGCAAGTTGAGAGTGAGAACAAGTTTGAAAGTAGCGTCAACTGATACTTTCAGCTTGTACAGATAATCTGTAAACGCAATCCCTAAGTGGAGGAAATAGTGTGTGAGGTCGTAACAGATGTACCCAAACAGTGCCCCTCCAAAAATGGAAGGCATCCATGTGGGCGTCAGCACAAACTCCATGAGCTTCCATATCTGGGCATAAGACCCAACAGCACACTCATAAATTCAACCTCCCTGATCTCGCAGTTCACGGATGTGCCGCAAAGAACACAGAGGGCAACAGTGTTTCGTGAGGTGACCAATATGTTTTTATCAAGGTTGACTATTCGAGTAGCCCCGGAAGACAGCTATCAGTCGACACTCTGAGGCTTGTAAGCAGCCGCATAAATCTCCTGCAACTGGGATTCCATTCGATATCCTATGCAGTTTGAAATCCTAAGTGCTAGAGATTCAGACACCAATGAAATTTTGGTATGTACAACCATGGCGATAGCTGCAGTGTGCACTGGCGGAAACACAAGCCGGTCGGCGTCCATGGGGTGCTTGAGGTGAAATCCATGAATGACATAGTGCAATTGGTTTCTCCTGTCACACCACATCTAGTCATCGAGTTTCAGTTCTTGATTGCAAAGCCTAACCATTCTTAGAGTAATAGGAGGCAGCCATAGCCAAAGCCTTTGAGAAAGTTTGGCAGCAAAGATGACATTGAATGCAACAATCTATTAAATCTTGTTAGCTTCAAAATAACTACAATCAAATGCAAACTAGGTTGAAAGGCAAGTCATACACACGGACCAGGCGGGGGAGGATTTCGCATTGAACAAAAATCGGTGAATGACATACTCCAAAAACGTCCAAAAGATGAAACCCACAAGAAGGGCCACAGGCAACGCACTCGTCGGCAAGCCCTGTTCCATTGCCTTCACTTGGCACCACACCACCACGGGTCCCCACACCGTAGGGACCATCCACCATTTGCATCTGGTTATTATCTGCACCGACAATTCGTAACATAAATATTGTTTCTCACAATCCTCTACCTCTCTGAATCTATCATTGAAGACATTCAATGTCATTTCTGTTCACATGGTCTGAGAAAGGGGGATCGCAATTGCACCTCTATCACACTGCTTTCGAAGATCCTAGAACTCTCCTTGCGCATTACAGGCTCATGCACCCACTCATCGTAGTCTGAACCGAGATGACCAACCTTGAATCTTCACAAAAATCGATTTCACTGTCAGTGGTCAATGTCCAGTATCAAAATTTGGCAGTCATGGTGGTTGGTGTTGCTTATGAAAGCACTCTCTTACTTGAGCTACCATGAGCTTGGTTGCATCGATACTGAACTTTCTAGCACTTGCATTGCGGCTCCAACCGGATTTCCCCACCACATCCTCCTCACTGCCATTCATTCCTCTAGGCGCCATCACTGCCTTATCAGTTTTCTGCAGCTGGCAAAGACACATCCCGAATCACCAATCAGGTTAACAATGCTTCAGTTATTTTACATCTAAATTAGATTCCGGGTTTAAGTTCTAATTTAATTTAATTACGGCAAGATCTTCAACTTGGACGACAATCAGTTCATTGAGACGGTATATATATGTGGTTAAACACCACACCTGTATGTCTTCCTCCAAGCTTACAATGTCTGGTATTAAGTTTTGGAATACATACACGCAAGGAAGGTGTAAAAGTAACGTGATTGGATATTGTCCACTTGCCCACTATAGAAACACCCCCCACCAAGATATGAACCTACATTTGTGGAACAACACTAGACGATTGCCACTGTTATACAAACCTTGCTCAACGACAGGAAGACAACTCCAATTGCGAGCACCGGGAAGAATGCACCCAAGGCGTCTAGATTGCATACTCCACTAAAGCCTCACGTCTCACTTGTATGATACCACCAGACTTACAGATCTGATAGGGAACGAAAATCTTCTGGCCGGCACTTTTGATATGACGGTTGTGATGTCGACTGGCTTGGAGTTTGCGCTCGTTAAGCTCTCATAGGAGTTATAACATGCTCATGGTTTACCGCAGGTTCTATGAGCTGCGTCTCCTCAAAGGGAGTGTGATTGCTACCGTCACATGGACTCCTCAAAGGGTCAAAAAGATACCAGATCACGTCTCTTTGATAGGGTGACAAATTTTAGAAGCCTTCAATATTTTTACTCAGATGCAAAAATTCCTCTTCGAGCGTGGGCTTTTAGAGTATATTCTCGCACCGAGGGCGATTTTCATCGCACAGCAGGTTGGGTCCGGCAAAGTTCTTGCCAGCCAAGGACGTCTGACAAACGTCCTCCAGTTACGGGCGGCCGTGCGGAAAGCGTTTAGCAGGCGTCTCTCAATGCCCAGATTTGACCTCGCATTTGTTGTGACCACAGCTATGAACTCAGTAACATGGATCGCATTCAGGTGGTGTGGCATGTGACAGGATTCCTTCCTAGGCTGGACATCTTTACAGGAGTGAGGGGATTCACGGCACCCAACCACATCAAAATGTCATTGAGGGGAATTTCCTGAAAAGACTGGAGCGCATGGCGAAAACGCGACACTCAATTCTATCTCCACAACCATTATGGATCAGAAGTTCATCATGCAAGTTGACAAAAAAGGGTCTCCATTCTCACCACCTCATGAATTCGCCGCAGATTCTGGCCTCTCCCCCCGCGCAGTGTGTTACATTTAAGGATGTCCTTCATCTCTCAAATTGTGGGTGAGGGGTGTGATAATCTTGCAGCATTCGAGGACATCCATGTGCATAGAGGATCGTGATCCAACACCGATTGATGTGTCTCCCTTGCGAAGTCTCCCCGCCATGAAGTCTCGTCCATAAAGCCTCGTCGACGGAAGTCTTGTCCATGAACTAATTAAGGTTTGCTAAAATCAAATCAAAATCCAATCTCTTTTGAGTGTTTTGAAGCTAAGCTTTGTAGTTGATTTTGTGCTAGAGTGTATGCAAGGTGATGCAATTCTCATCAATAAGTGAGAAGAATAAAATTTGTTTGCAAATTTTAAACAATATCTTTTTGTGTTTTTGCTGATTTACAATTAGTCACCTCTGTTGGATGACATTCGTTATTCAATCATCTTATCTTATATTTTTGTACTTAACTTTCAATAAAAAGATCAGAGAACATATTTGACTAAACTTACTTAAATAAAGATGAATCAACAATTAATATTGATTTTATTTCTCAAAGATGAAATTAATCTAACTTTAGAAGAATCATTCTTTGTTGATCAAAAGTTGCATCTTCTTTTTTTGGCACGAGATAAAAACATCTAGAAAGATCATTAAACAAAATTTGTTGTTTTTTTTTCATTAGTATGTGATTTTGAATTTAAATCTTGACAAGAATATGCTCCAATGGACTTGGCAATGATTTAAAATACATATTAATATAAAATATTTAAGGTTCTTATAATTTATATAAATAATCAATAGATTTAAAGTAATTTTTAGATAATGGCATTATTTTTAAAATAAAGCAATAATTATAAGAAGTTCTTTGTTTTGGATCTTGCAATTGATCTCCACTACTAATTTTTTTTTGAATGAAAAGCAACAATATGAAATTTTGTAACTTATGACATTTGTGACAATACTGCATTTAAGACAAAGTCCAATGCATTTGTTTCAATAGAAAATATCTTGAAGTAGTTGAAGCAAAATAAGATTAGTACAAAAATAAAAGTTTTCTTCAAAGCTTCAAATACTTATTGAGCTTCTTTATTCTACTTAAGTTTGTCCTTACAAGTCAAATGTATAAGTTGAATTATAACTTGACAAAAATTCTTAATAAAAAATCCAATAATAATTTATAAATTCTAAAAAATATTAGATATTTTTTACTATTTTTGAAATCTTTTAATCCATAATAGTTAAACTTTCTTAAAATCCATCATAAGTCTATTATTTGAAATGATGTATTATAAAAAATCAACTTAAATAGTGTAAAATACACACTTTTTTATCTTGGCATATAGTCTTACATTTGTGAACAAAAATAAACTTTTATTAATTAGAAATTTGATCCAGTTCATAATAATTTAATTATCTAAATATTCTAATAATTCTTGATTATTGTTTGAATTGTATGCAATAATTCCAATACTCTCTAATTATGAACTAAACAAATCCTCAAATAGGTGATTTATTCTAGTTCGAAACTATTATATAACTTATTAATTAATTATAAAAATTTTCTTTATACTTCTTATGAAAATAAAATTTAATTTTTTTACTAGTTAAATTCATATTTATACATCTACAATCAAGCCACTTAACAATACAAAAACCATACTCACACTTGAAAGCAATTATTCTTTGAGTATTTTATTTTATTATTAAATAATTTTAAATTTATTTATTATCTAATAAAAAAAATCATCCAAAATAATTTCTCATCAACAAATAATTTTTCATTTATAAATGATTTTTTATTTTTAAATAAAAAATCATCCAATTTCAGAAATCATCCAAACATAATTTAACTTCATTTATATCTTAAGTTCATTTAATCAAGATTTTTTCCAATAAAAAAAATGTTCTTTTACACAAAATTTAAAAAAATATTTTACAACATGTTAATATGCTTCAAAGAAGGGCTCTTAAATTTCTTGTATTCGATACTATTGAATGTGAAAATTTAACTACGGCCATCACCTTGCTCTTGAATTGGTTAGTGTAATCATTCCTTGAATTGGTTAGTGTAATCTTGTTCTTCACTAATGTACATGAGGTAGCAAGGAATGTTGGTTCTGCAATAAATAACCAATTCATGTAATCTCTGTACAAGGAATTTCACAAGTTCTTGGCTTCTTGTTTAAGGAATACTAGGATTGAGATGAATATCCTTGGAACTTTCAACCTTGTCTAAACTACTATCTACACTTGCTAATTCAGCTTTTTCTTGCAAATGGTCAATACAAACAAAGACTTGGTATTGAACTATTAATCTACCTTATTATTAATGATGGTGATTTAATTAAAATATGAAGATGATTCAAGAGCAGTAGCAAGAGATCAGCAACATGTAGAAGCTAAATTTTCCAAGCTCAACCACTCTTGTCAACATCTCAACTCTTCGCCACACTACTCCAATCTGTCTTGAAATCATATCGGCAGCATGATTACTATGCATCACTCTACAATTGGACCACTAGAAGAACACAATTCGAAATCAACAACAACTAAATAGTCTAGTAATTCCATTGAAGATGAACAAGAATTACCACTAAGGTAGAGATAAAAATTATTCCAAAAAACAAGCAAATCTGCCACCAATTGTCATTCAATAAGAGAACTAAAATAAGTTTGAATTAAGAGCCAAAGGCAATGATGATCCACAACCAAGAATAAAACAAGCCAAAAATATATTTTTAAGATGAATCTAAATGTTGAGAGTTCCTTTTATTAACATGAATTATAGCAGGATTGATAGAAGATGGTATGTAACTCCACATATATTCCATTTATTTGCACATGCTTACTTATCCTCACAAAACCATTGAGATTTATAGCAAGTTGTATTGGATCTCCATATATGAAGTAAAATAAATCTCCACTAGTTGGAAGTCTATTCTAATTTATCATGATTTCATCATCTAAATAACCTAGTACTTCTTTATTAGCATTTGATTCATGTCCAACAACTTTAAGAACTTTATAGTTGTGATCTAAAATAAGACACTCTTGTAAGTGATTTATTTTAATTCACAACTATTAATTAGCTTCTAATTTGATTGCTTAAGTTATTTTTTACTTCATCATAAATTTTTAATTGTTTTAAGTAGTTAAAAACATGTCTCATATACCTACAAAAATAACACAAGGCACTCAAATAGCTCAAAAGAAACATACACTTAAAAAATATTTTTTTACATGATTTAATTTAATTTCATAAGATTTTAACTTTAATTTTTATTTAGTATTAATTATTATCTAATATTTTATTTTTATCTAATGGTAAATTCTCATCCTCTATTCTATTATGTATATTCTTGCTTAAAAATGTACTAGGCACCTAGCTTTGAATGGTAAATATTAAACAAACTCTCAACAATCCTTATAGTAAGTTGAAACTTCAATAATTAATAATTTCACTATTGATATCAATAATTAAAAATTTTTATACTTCTTAATAACTCAGATGGAAACAAATACAAGAAAAATTAGTTCAATTGCACATACCAATGTAAGATAATCCATTCAAGTCTTAGATGAACTCCTTCATCAATTTTGATGCTGAGCTCCTAGTACTAATATTTCCTTCTTGAATTTTTAAATTACTCTCAAAATTCACAAAAATATTGAAAATAAAGTTTATTTCTACAAATAATTATCATTTCAATCCAATTAATAAATTGTTGCAAATCTTAGAAATGCCCATTGATCCTTAAACTCCAATTTTTGAAACCTCAACCCACTTGAACTTCAATAACCTTCAACACAACCATTTGATGAAGCTCAAATTTATAACATATATTTTGCAAAACTATATTTATAAATAGAAATTTTTTTATTACAAGATCTATTATAAAATTTATAAAATATTCCAAAATATTAATCCTTTTTTACTTTAATTTGGCTTATTTATGCCTCTATTTAGTTAAAAGAAATTTCTTCTATAAAAAAGTAGGATTAAGACTAAAGTTTTTATTACATTTTTATTAATTATCTTTATTTTTTTATTATATCTTTCTACTAGTCTCTTTTATAATAACATCCATATTTTTATTTTTCACTTTTAAGTCATATTATCACATGACATCCACCTCCTC